GAATGGGCATACTGTGCCTCCTTCACTAAAGAATTTGATATTGACAATTGAAGCGTTTATAAGTATCCGCGATATATTATTAAAAAACGGGATTAAATCTTTTTATGCGCGGACTTTAAATCAAGATCCCTTAGAGAATTTTTTCGGGCAAATACGCCAACACAGATTTCGGAACAATAGCATTAATTCTACTCAGTTCGAACAATCATATAAAACATTGTTAATTAGAAATATTAGTAGTCCGCATTCAATAGGCAGCAATTGCGAAGAGACATTCAATACATCTCTTATAGGTTTAGAAAAATTGCTCGAATGCAAACTAATAGAAAATGAATCACCGGAAATAGTAGACTATTCACATCTTCACCAACATATTCATAACTCACGACATTGTATTTCAAAACCAATACCTGCAATTGCTTGCAAACAGATCACTCGTTTCATATATGACAATGTTCTACATAAATTCAAGTGCTCATTGTGTAAAATGCACATTGTACAGGCGTCAAATCCGAGGGCGCTGAATAATTATTTTCAGGGATGCTTATATAAAGCATATAATATAAGCAGGCTCATAATAAGAAATTTTTGTATTAAAAATAAAATAAGACAATACACATTAGATATCATTAAGAATCATGTCGTATTTAGTTTTTTATGTAGCCATAAGGACGACATTAGTTATTATATTTTAAATTATATTATTAAGTATACTATATCTAACTATTGTAGATTCTTAAAAAATATTATTAATTCTAAGATATCTTATAATAAAGAAACTACGAATAGATTCATATTGCAAGCCATTGCGGCAAATAAGAAAAGAAGAAGACATTCGTAGCGTTTAGTATTATTTTTTTATGTTTTACATGTTTAATATTATTTTTTTATGTTATTTATGTTTATTATTACACATTTTATTCCATACGTTCCATCTACGTACTTATATAAGTAGCCAGAATAAGTTTTACTTCATTATAAAATGAATGTTGTATATGATAATTTGTTGTCATTCTTTGTATTTTACAAATGTATGAATAAAAAATATATGATATAAATTTATTTCTTCAGATTTATTTTTCACAAATTTTAAAATTAATAAAAATATAAGTATAGAATATAGGGATACAGATTTTTAAATTTCGGCCTGTCCCCGCCATTTTCCCTTTACTTTCTGCACATTCCGCTGAGTGGCGCTGAAAGCCGTGCTATTAAAATAATACATTGAGTGTCGCTACCCTGTCTCCATCCTTTAATCTACTGGTCGGGCTAGTTTCAGTTGTTCCAGCTCCCGCTGTAGGCTTAAGATCCGTACCTCTGTCGGGCTGCACCCGGGCGCATGGGCAGCCCCTTTCTCGTTTTCCTGTTGTCTGTCTCCAGGTGATCGCGGTTTTAGTTTTTCGGCGTTTAGGCCTATTAGCCTATCTTTGTACCAGACCTTAAGCCCAGTGGCCTTCTCGTCTATATCACCTCTGAACAGGATGGTCCCTGGCGAATATTGACTTCCCGTGGCCACACTCGCTGTGCCCCGAGGTATTACGAGCGTTTTAAGTGCCTCATTTCGGTAGTCCTTGATTTGTACTGACACACCCCATCCCCAGGTATCACGAGGGGGGAGGCTACTACCACAGTCCTTCCAACCTAGATCCCGGGCTAATCTGCCACCGTAGGATTCATCCACTGCCCAGACTACACCATCCATACGCGTGTTGTTGGGGTGGGTCTTATATGTCAGCCCCCAGTTGCACTCGTCCATCCGGTTCATATCCAGTCGCATCAGTACATCCTCTAGTTGCGCGTCGTCTTCCCCTCGTCCAAACTGCGCATAGGACATCGCAGTCCAGTCACCTGAGTCGTAAAATTCGTAGGCCCCCCCTCCAGGTCTACCGCTCCCCTGGATAATGAAGGAGCTCCATTCTGTGTTATGGATGCTACGCCAAAAAGAGCTTGGCGTTCTAATTCCCGTAAAGGTGCCTCCATTTCCCTGGGCGCGTTGGTTGATGTCCCAGGAATAGTTAACATGTTTGGTGAGGAAGAACCCTGCGAACCAGCTTGTCGTAGTTCCCGCTCCATGATCTGGATTCTCAATAAGTCTACTCCAGTATTTGTTGGTATGAGGGTCCATGGCGGGGAAGGCTATCCCGTCTTGCTGGGCCGCGGCCTTCTTGAACATTTCGAAGCCCCGTCTTAACAGCCGCCCTCGGCTGAGTCGGTCCAACCCTCCGCTCTTGCATCTGGCCGCTATTTGTACATCATTTTCTACGTTATGGGTATCATAGTACGCATATCCCGCACCTATCGCCAGTGCCGCCATATTATCCCAAGTACCTAGGCGTACCACGGGGTACATTTTGGCTTCCCGCCTGTTGGCTACCCGATGGTCCATGCAGAGTACGGCAGACCATCCGCCGTATGCACGGTAGCTGTCATCTGTCACCTCGTCTCCAGGATTGAGACCCATATACTCAAGGACTGATCTGGGAGCGCCATAATATGACGAGCGTCTTCCCTCTCCCAAGTTCACCCCCTCTATTTTTTGGTGCCACCGGACAGTTAGTGACGTGGTTATTGAGTTGATCTCCAGCCAATCTATACCTTTAGGGAAATAGCTGGCAGTATAGTCTGAAAACGCCGTTCTTAACGACCTGGTCCCTGTAAGGAGGCGGTTGACAACAATGTCTATAGCATTGCTGACGTTATACCGATTTATGACTCCGTTTTCAGGTAATACACCCCTGTGGTCGCAACTTTGCACGTCATAAACCCCCCCCCCCCAGGGACACTGACGCTGTTGTCTTGGTAGGCAGGACAAAAATGAGCTTCGATGCTCTGTCGGAAATATCTATCAGGCCAGCTGTTCTGACAAACGTTTCTTTTCTTGTGATCTGTCCCCCTCGCGGTGTTACCTCTCCTAATGTTGTCATCCGATACACGTCGAGAATCTGTGCGAGTGGGTATGTCAAGTGAGACACTATCCAAGTGTCGCGGCCCACACAATCAGGCTGGCCGTTATCCGCAATGGGTATTACTTTAACAGTATTCTCATATCCGATATTCCAGACCTCTTGCTCCCCCTGACCACCCACTCGCAGGCGTCCCCCATTACGCAACATCGCTTCCAATACGTCGGCGGTGATGAAGACGGCTTGGTAATCCCAATCTCCAGTGTTATGGGTAGAGATCACCAGCCGTTCCGGCTCCTGCACGGTGGCCCAGGCATACCCTACCCCTGACGGTTGTATTGACCGCCGCTCACGGAGCTCATCATACAAGTCTACCTTTACAGCCAAGCTACGGTAATCTGCTCTGCTGTTATCGATGTACGCGTCAATACACGCTTCAAGTAACGGGGTGTTACTCATATACCCATATGTGTATAACCCCTTAGAAGGGTTGATAACCCCAGGACACGATGGCGCAGGGTTAGTGGCTGCTTCGATCATCATGGCAACTGCTTCAGTACGTAACAGCCGTCCGTGCCGGAGTCGGGGATCGATGCGAACTCCTACCCACTTTAACCTGTCCCATGCTTCTTTCCCTCCGATCAAACTACCGCCAACAGGGTTCTCTTCGTGAGCAGTGTTCTCACTAGTTCTAGTACTAGCTTCTAACGAATTAGCACCACCCTGGTCAGAGCTACTCTTCCCGCCTAGAGCTACAGGCTCTCTGTAACCCCCGTCGTCGTCGTCACCAATCACATCGATGTCCTCATCGATTATATA